GCTCTACAGACAGTGCGCTGAGTGAAAGCTCTACAGACAGTGCGCTGAGTGAAAGCTCTACAGACAGTGCGCTGAGTGAAAGCTCTACAGACAGTGCGCTGAGTGAAAGCTCTACAGACAGTGCACTGAGTGAAAGCTCTACAGACAGTGCGCTGAGTGAAAGCTCTACAGACAGTGCACTGAGTGAAAGCTCTACAGACAGTGCGCTGAGTGAAAGCTCTACAGAGCAGAGTGCAAGCTCTACAGAGCAGAGTGCAAGCTCTACAGAGCAGAGTGCAAGCTCTACAGACAGGATGAGTGCAGATGACACAGCGCTGGACATCTTAAAGGATTTAAACAAACTCTGGAAGAAAGTGGAATCAGTTCAAGACAGAAGAGCAGTTTTTGACGAACAACACCTGAACTGTCTATCAAGTGTCAAGAGCCTGATGAGGGAAGGTGGAAAACTCATTAAGCCAACAGAAAAATTATTTTCTCAGTTCAACAAAGTGCAGAAAAAGATACAAAGACATGAAAAGGGCGAGTTATCAAAAAAAATTGACATTAAAACTTTAAAGAAGAAGAAAGAGACGCTGGTGAAACAGTTGGCTAAAATAAAAAAGAAGATTATGACGATAAATCCAGAACTTGCCGGTGAATTCACCAAACTGGTAGCGGTCGACAGAAGAGGCTTCAGTGAGGAAGAACTGGGTATTTATGACGACATATGTAATCATCTGCGTACTTACATGGACATCGACAAAAAATATGTAGATTTTGTTACTGGTGACATTTATAACGATTTGTCTAAAGACAAAAAAAGGATTTTAAAAAGAGCTGTGAATCTGGCAGAAAGATGGCTAATTTATTTACAGAAGTTAAAAAATTTTTATGACGTGAATATGAGCGGAGAGCATGCACCTGAAATGACAGTAGAAGAATACCTGAGAAGACAAGAAGAACGTGACCACTACAGACGTGAGCTCTACAAGTGACCATGTGACCAGTCCTTCCTCATCAACATGAACTGGGATTGACGTAGTAACCTACAGACATGTGGCCTACAGACATGTGACCTACAGACATGTGACCAGTCCTTCCTCATCAACATGAACTGGGTTTGACGTAGCAACCTACAGACATGTGGCCTACAGACATGTGACCTACAGACGTGACCTACAGACATGTGACCTACAGACATGTGACCAGTCCTTCCTCATCAACATGAACTGGGTTTGACGTAGCAACCTACAGACATGTGGCCTACAGACATGTGACCTACACACGTGACCTACAGACATGTGACCTACAGACATGTGAGGGAGAGAGAGAGAGGGAGGGAGAGGGAGAGAGAGAG